TCATCAAAAAATATAATTGTGGAATAAAAACTTAGAAAACATAATGAAAAGTGGTAAACATTTCATTTTTCAGTTTGCATTTTTCATTTTTCATTCTCATTTTTTAGTAGAACAAAAATACAAATGAAAAGTACAAAGTGCAAAATGAAAAGTTGCAAAGTGTATTGGTGGAACAGGCCCCTGGTAATAATTACATTATATTGTATACGTAAATTATATTATATCTTTGTTTTATCCCCTCCCTGGAATTTCGTAAATTGATAATTTTGTTAACTAACCAGCTATTCAATGACTGTCAATCAATGCTTTACGATGACTCTAAAAATATTTGTTTAAATCCGATACATTTTAGCATTACACAATATGCCTTCAAACGAGAGTATAGCGTTGGGATATTATTGGAATTTGACGTACTTTCATGTTTCTTAGAAAGCTATATTTATTGTTTCTTATAATGCATGTATCTCAAATTTGAGGGAAAAAATATTATTAACAATTTTTTCTAACTTAGTGATCCTTTAAGTTTTCCCATATATCTATAATAATTTATGAATGACATATTTTATTAAAAATCCTATAAGTAAAAATAAAAACACCCTAGGAATTTAGAAATAAATAAATCAATGAAAAATAACAATTGCTGCCGAGCACAATTAACAAAACCTATAATAATTAATATAATATTGTTTGTCGTATCTAGAAAATAATAAATAACTATTTTCAACTATTTTAGATGTTGAGCAAAATTAGAAATAAAATATTGATTTTACATTCATTTTTTAGTTGTTCTTTTTCTTCGGCCTAATTTTCGGTACCAACTTTGTTATATAGTGTCTCATTCGATTGAAAATTCAAACAAAAAATGTGTCATAAAAATAAAGGTTTTAATGTATAAGCAAAAAAATATTTTTATTTAAACAACTCTTATTACAATTGACATACTCATATATACACAGCATCGTGTTTAGCATAATTATCGCTCAGTGCCAAAATCATTTTTAGCGCCCTCACTCCTCTACAAAATATTTTTAAACCTATAATTATAGCTAAGATTCAGCTATAAGGAGACTACTTATGAATAGGGGGTTTTATATAACTACTTATTTTGTATTTATTAAATTAATAAAATAAATAATCAACGACTAAAGAACAATATAAGAAATATAACTCTAACTGATTCTTCGACGCCATGTTTTTTCACCTTGGTCTACCTACTTGAACGAGTTACCCGCAAATTTCGCCTCTAGATATAAATCTATAGTTCCAGTTATACTAGACAAAGTATGGTTCAATGATCTTATTCAATCCAGATCCCTCATAATCATCTCTTAGGAAATCATCTTTTACCTTCTTGCTCGCAAATTAAATCTTAATGATTTCCTTCCAGTGGTGCAATTATCGGAAGTATTAGGTGTATAATTCACAGAGACCCCCGGTTTTGGGGCGCCACGAGATCTCTTCTGATATTACCTTTATCCCTTACAATATTATTTCTATAATCTGTAATATACACATATTATATTATTTGTTTTAATAACAATAAATAATAATATAAGTCTAGACATTTTCACATGGGACCCTTATCATCAAGTTGGGCCATTGTTTCTTTCCCTGCACACTTTATTTAGCAGAAAAAAAATCCTACCAAACGCAATATCTTAGTTAGTCTCCCAATAACCCATTCGATACTTTCAGCTCTCTAAATTTCAAAATCTACTCTCATTCTAACTATTTTCTTTATTCACGATGCTGATTTCTGTATATAATCTTTTATTATTTTTATGTCATATGTTTTATCTATTGTATTTTAATTAATTAATCGATGTATTTTATTAAAATAGTCAAGCTTAATAGTATTACTAATAGCTCTTCAAATAAAAAAAAAATAAAAACTCTATAAAAAATAACTTTATTGATAGAAATAAACATGTAGATAATAACTTATCGTTCTAAACCGGTATAATTTATTTGATTGCACAAAAATGGCTTACATTTTTAAATAATAGCCGATGAAAAATAATTAGGTATCTATGCAATTTCTACGTTCATGAACTATGATGTGAACACTATCATATACGGCTTTAAAATAAAATCGTACAACTTGATCAAGTCGATGTTTTTTTATGTTATTAATGTTATTAAATTAATTATATCATGTAATAATAATTATAGAATATAAATTGTATATTTTTTTTTTTTTTTATTAAAAGGAAACTTTGTTAACAATTAGTTTCAACAATTATGTTTACAAAAATATTACATAAAGGTATATAAAATTAACGACAGAAGATATATTACAAATAAATTGTATATTATTGTTAATTATCATCCCGCCGATTTCTGGACAAAAATAAATACCAATACTAAAAATAAACTAGCAACACTCCGGATTAAGATAATGTTAATGATATCGACAACGCGTCGAGACCATGGCGTTAAAAGTGTTAAATATTTTGAATTAAGTATTATGGTTAACTTTCAGTAATATTTATTAGTTTATGAAAAAGCTTTTGGCGCCCGGTGCACATGCACCTCTGTTACCCTCCTAGGTACGGCCCTGTATATACATGATAAGATACTTTAATTACTTTCGTATCTTCGTTCAGAATTGTGTTTTGAGTATAAAGATTTATATCAATGCTTTTATAGTTTTTTATTAATATGATTTTTTTTCATCATAATAATAAGTAATAATAAGTATATTTTAATATAGTTTAATACGTGGTATGTATGCACTAATGCATTGTGCACATAATTCATTATTATGATTTTTAACTTGAAAATATATCTCTAATCATGATTATGTCCTATTTAATTTCTAATTATACACGATTATGTAAAAAAAAAAATAATATTTCGGAAACCCGATTGATTTTAACAAAATAAAATTTTTATTTTATATGTAATATATTATTGTATTATTAATTCGAATCACTATTTAGTTATACAATCGGAATTTAAAAACTCAATTTTGAATTATTATAGAGTGAATTTTTATTAAATCATCATAAATTTCTTTGGTTTCTAGAGTAAATAAAATATTTTAACTGTAAATTCAATTTTTTAAAAACGAAATCAATTTATAATAGTACAATACATATTAGTAGACATTAATTCCTAAATATATTTTAATTATGACCATGTGTATTTAGTTAATAGCAGAACATTTGTATATTTTAAGTATGAAAGTAATTAAGGATTTTGAATTTGCATATTAAGAGGATTATACAATAGACATAGGTTGATTGTATATTATTAATATTATTGGATATTGGGACGATCGTACGTGTTTTTGGAATAATTTATCAAGATATTAATTTCATGTCATTTTTCGTATTTGAAGGATTAATAGTGTTATGTTTAGAATATTGCTAAAATTGAATTTATAATTACGTTGATTATTGTTTTAATCAATGTTTCAAAAGATAATGCTGAGTAAATATTTATCTAGATAAAATTTCGTTTAAATACATCTTATACTCAGTGGCGGATTAGGGGGCAGGCTAAAAGGCTTATAGCCTAGGGCGGCTTTTTTGGGAGGGCGGCTTTTTTTCATAGAATTAAGTGTTATTATTGACTTATTAGGTATATTTATTTTAATATATTTTTTTTTATATTTGTCATATAAACACGAATAAAAATAATTTGAAAAAGTTATAATAATATATTAATATGTACTTTGTATGATGCGTACCTATAGGTTATAGTAAGAATAATACAATTTTTATTACAATTATAAAATATTTCATTTATAATAAAATAATTACAGTTAGTTATTAGTTATTATTAATAACTTAGTACCTATGTGCTTATTGGGAACATCCGACTATCCGAGTGTAGGTATTTTCATATCTGACTTTTATATTTCCGTTATGTGACTGTATAAGCATTTTTTATTTGTACAGGTAATAATTATATCTGAAGTAAAATAATAGACATGAAATATTTTATTTTTAGAAGTTTTCTATTTTAAAGATTTTATATTTTTTTTTTTATGAACAAACTGAATAAAATTTGAAGAGAAGGGTTTAGACCAAATATTGTTGGTTCTTTAGTAGAGTTATAGGGGAGGGGAGCAGAGTGATTATGCCTAGGGGCGCCAAAACGCTAAATCCGATACTGCTTATACTTCAAGTTTTTAATTTACATTTAATAAATAGTTCTTCATTTTAAGTGTATCGTTAAAATTTTGAATAACATTTGATTTGATTTTTAAAAATTGTTTTAATTTAAACATTTAAAAAAGAGTTTTACTATATACGTTACATTATATTATATTTATATTTATGTTATTTGTTTATTAAATAAGCTATACATAATATATAATACACGGTATATATCACTTTATTGTACATTATTTAAGCTCCATTAACTTTGAAGAAGGTTAATCACCCCCCCCCCCCCAAGTCTAATTACTCCCCCTAAAATAAGCATCTATTTAAGTGTTTGAATTAAATATTTGTGGAAATTATTATTTATAGAAATTACTTAACAAAAGCATTTAATAACGTTTAAATGTGTTGACGGTAACAACAATTACGCGTAATTGTTGCCAAATCAGTAATTTTAGTTATAACCATATTTTAATAGTTTTTCGTACGTTTACATTAATATTAATAAAATAATAATAAAATAATAAAAGATGGATAAATGAAATATCACAAACAAAAAATACTGATCTAAAGATACCAAGGTACCTCTTTAAAAAAAAATTTTAAATAAAGATATTGAAGTCATAATTATTATCTTATTTTTTTAAAAATATGAATACTTTTAAATAATAGTCATAATAATGTTTTTTTTCAAACGATGCGGTTAAATAATTTTACAAAATTAAAAATATAGTAGGAATCTTACATGGTACATATGAAGATATATTGATGTTGTGTATTTGTAAAAGTAACCATGTAGAAGTTGTGCGCAGAGCTACAACGGCTGCGCCACTATCGGCGTAAAAGTAGAATACTTGTTGTAAGTGACACGCATTTGGTTAACTCAAGTCTAAGCTCGACCATGAAGCACATCAGCTTTGTAGTGGTTTATATTATAATTTTTGGACTTTCGTCGTCCAATTTTTTGGACTGCCATTTGCAAGGTATTACTTTTAATAAAAACTTTCATTTATTTTTTTTCTATTAAATTTAATAATTTTACAAGATTTGATTTAAAATAGAATCCTAGTATTATTATATTTAATCGTATTTAAGAAATTGATAAACTACCCATTTTGATATATAATTTATTTAACAACTTATTTTAATTGTTTATAACATACAAATGATAACATGTATGTATTCGAACAAAATGCCATATAATATACTAATATTATAAGAAATTTCAAATTTCAACGTACATCAATAATTTCTTAGAAAATAATTTACGATTATCTTAAGACGGTTGTTGATTTTTGTAATTTTATTATTAGATTTAATTATCATAAAAACACTACACATTTAAAAATATTATTTGTTTTTTATTTAAACAGTTGTTGTTAAATAACATAAATCAATTTTAAATTTGACATACAAAAATATATTTATTTAGCTAATTAGAAATATTTCTTTACAGCAAAATATGTATAGTATATATTAGGCACTAATTTGAATTATTTGTATTTAAATTAGTACTTTGTATGTCATACATTAAATATTTAAAAGTAAAACTAAGAGTATTAAATTTATGTCTTATATTCTTTAAAAACTTCGTAAAAAGGAACTTAATAAAAAAAATATTTTACTCTACAAAATATTTTTCACCTTATGAATTGCACAAATATTAACAATAATTATTTTTAAGGATAAATTATTTCGAACGTTTACATGGAGTTTATATTTAAAATATACTTAATATGTGGTAGAAAATAAATAGTTCCTGATTTTTTAATAGCAGGCTTCATGGATATTTTAATCTTGAATTTAATTTACCAATTAAGTAAACAATGAATAAGTAATATATACTTACATAATATTTAGATTTGTAATAAATAAATCATAATATGATATGTAAAAATAATATTTAAAATCAAATTCAGTTTATAAATATAGACTATACATTTTCTTTAAAAAAAATAAAACATATTATAAAATATTAGACAAAAAATATACACAGTATTCAATATGTTTGCTATAATTATTATTTTTAATTTAAATACAGATATATTTAATCAAAAATTGAATTTATTTAACTTCTTAAATATTAAATAATTTAATAGCTAATTGTTAACATTAATTTACTATGTGCATTCAGTGTTACTGGATATATAGATACTCTTTTCAAATTTTCTTTCAATGAATATTATTTTTCTTGTACGCTCATTTGCTTATTATAAACTGTTATTATATATTGTATATTTTATAATAAATATTTATATACAGATTTTATTTATATATTTTAAATGCAATCATGAATACTAAATACTAAATGTGATGAATTTTCGCAATGTTTTTCATTCATTATAAATGTATAATTTATTGAAATGAAAATATTTTCCTATAAATTACCAAGATAGAATGCTCATATTTTTTTAATTTTCAAATTGACCTTATTTATAAAATTTCTTATTTATCAAGGCATATAACTATAGGATGGTCAGTCAGTTTTTATTATGTGTATATTTTGGAGACATATATTAATCTTCAATAATTCCAGTACTTTTCTTTTTCGTGTACACATTAATTATGTTGAAAAATTAAATAATAATAATCACGATGTCAATGTATTACCAACAAAAATAATTTCTTATTCACAACGAAATCTCATTAGTCGATATTCAATGCTATGAAAAATGAACCGAATTATTCGATTTTATTAAATAAATAAATATTGGTAAAAATTATTATTTAATTCATTTATTCAAAATTCATTAAAAATAAAACAAATAGTTTTACGATCATGAAATTAAATAATTTAAGAATCAATCAAGTTAAATAATAGAGTCTAAATTTGATAAATTAAACTTGGCTCACAATGTAATGTACCTACGTGTATTCAAACTTTTTAAACTACCTATCGGTTTAATGATATTTACACTAACATGGAGAAAATTGTTATCATTTTAAACACGTTATTAGTACTTTAAGAATTATTAATATTTATTGGTGGTCCAAGTTGTAACTATTCATAAATCAACATACATCTGTGATAACTAATATTTGCACTTTGTCCAAGATCTATTTATTTATTAATTGATTTCTATAATTATAGTATAATATGTCATTACCTCATATGGTGTTAATTTTTTTATTTAATTCAGTATAAATGGTATAATAATATTATTATTACAAGTAGATTTGTTTCATAACATCGAAATAACTTCAAATACATTTTATAACTAATATTTATGTATCTATTGTATCTATGATGTAATACTTAACCCTTAAATTAAGTATTAAATTTAATAAATTACCAAACATATTTCGGTGTTAAATTAATCCTTTTTTATTATTGAATATACAGGCTTCTTTTTTAGTTAATATTACCGTAATTTTTTTATTTTCTTAAAATATAATTTGATTCAAATGCTATTTTTATGTGTATAAGAAACTTCAAATTATATTATTAGATAAATACTTAACAATAATTTTGATTAATAAGTGTTAAAATAATTTTTGAAAATATTAATATTTTACTTTTAAAAGTAGACACTAATCAACTAAAGATGGTTATATTTTTATAAATTCCATTATAGATACTCATACTTTAAAAATATAAATTGTAATAAATGTATAATTTTTTAATTTGAAGTTATCTCATCACTATAATATGATAGTTTAAGTATCTTACATTATTTATCCATCTGATTATTAAAATCAATATAACTATATCTTATTAAATAGTGTAACAAATATTTAATATTAAATAATAATTTAACTTTTATAAGATTCATTTATGCTTTTTTCCTCCATAAGGTATAACCTTATGTAGGTATATTTGAGGTATAACCAACGTCTTTAAGGTTAAACTTATTTCAGCCTACAAATATATTTTTACTTTTAAAAATAATTTTTTATTCAGAATTAGTAAATTTGTTTTTTATATATATATACAGGATGTTGTGTAATGTTAATATTTATAAAACAATTAAATTAGTATGAATCATAAGAAAAATTATATTTTGAATCGAAAGTTATACTCTTAGGCAGCGAGCGGGGGGGGGGGGAATTAATGAAAAATTGAAGAAAAAAATATGTACATAAAATTTTAATAACTTTAAAGGATTTATTTATTGGTTTTTAAGAAATATTGTTAGTTATTCTTAGTAAATAGTAAAATAGAAAATATATTAATAATGAATTATCGTACCTCTGTATGAGCACGTTTTAAATCACCCCTCTCTAACGTAGTTATAGAATAATAAAATATTTTAACTAAACCTGGTATTTCATGGTGTTTTAAAGACGATGCATATGTAGGCAGTTATATTATGCTATGAACAAAATGTAATAAAAGTAGAAGGCTTAGACTTGTTTTCCGGCAGGGGTAAATATTTACATTGTCGAACCATTTTTTAAATAATGTGAAAAATCAAGTTTTATATATTTCATAGTTGTGATAAAATCAGACCTTATTTTTTAGTTTTTAACATCAACATTCTTGTATTATTATTTTTAGATTCTGAATGAAACGAAGAATTATTTTAATTTGTCTTTAGTTAAATTGTTCTTTATTTTTTAATTTCATACATTTATATAATTTATTCTTTTGATGTTTTTATTATAATTTTTGGTCATGAACGTTTTAGTATTAATTTTAATTTTTAATTTTATAAAATAAAAAACGAAAAGAATGGTATGCGGGATATGGGTACAAGTTGAAAACTTTCAGTGAATCTTAATTTGAGGGGGTTGCCCTCTCTAAGAGTAACCAAAGCGATTCTAAGTTGTAGGTCCTTTATGTAGTAAAAAATCCGAATTAAATTCAAAGTCATATATTTGAAATATTTCGTGCTATTTTTATAATTAAACAAACTGTTTTTTTTACATACATATAATTATATATATATAATATTGATTTAATAAAAACCAAAGTAAATTTTCGAGGAAATAAGAATATAGGATAATATTCAATATTATAATAGATACTATTTAAAAACGTACCTCGTTTTCCATTTTCAACTGTGAACAGCAGATATTGATACTTCAAATTATTGATATTATATTAGGAAAAATATTAAATTTTTTATTCAATCCTACACATCATCGTTTAATTTTAAATAATTGATATGAATAAATAATTTGTATTTATTACATTTGGTGTATATTTTGGGTTTTTACAAAATATTTAATTTTTAAGTATATATTATATAACCATGATATTATTGTACTATGACAAAAATTGAAAAAATTATTTAAATATCATGCTAAAAATGAATTTATATTTATCATCTTAACTATAAAGTTATCACTTACAATTCTATATGGAAATAAAAATTTTTATATTTTAATTTATAGTTGCATATATCTGATTTTAAAATGTTACAAAATAATTTATAATACAAATATGACATATATTAAAAACTGTAATATAATTTGTGCAAAAAATGTATCTATACCTTTATAGATTATTAAAATAAGAATTTTTTCTATTAAAAAATTTTAATTACATTATTAATTTCTCTAAAAATTCAAAAAATATTTATTTATTAGCTTATAAATTAATTAAACAAGATTAAAATAATTTCAATAATATTTTCAGCTTGAATGTTAAGTTGATTGAATTTACTTAATCGAAACATGCGTGTTAAAAATGTTCTTATTTATTTTATATTACGAATTTAAATAAGCAAGCTGTTTGAAACTCGTGAGAGACAAACTTGAACAACGAGCAGTTAAGCATTGAGAGTGAATATTTTCATGAATGGGTTAATGAACAATTAAAATTAAAATAACTTTAAATAATAATAACGTTATAGATAGCCAGAAATGAACCAGTACCTATTGTTCCGGACTGAAACATTCCCCCACTTCAAACCAATTTACATTTTTTTTTATTAGGAACAAATGTTTACATTCATAATAATAGGTTTCGAAATTTGTACTTTGATTATAACTGAAATAATATTTACAATTAATTTGCAAAATATTAATACGTATTTAGAACTGATCGGGTTAAGTCGGGGGGCTACGTAAAGTTGGCTCTAGTGAAAGATTTTTTAACGAAGTTTCAAAGAATTTCGATTTGTAAATTGTTAAAACCAATTTACAAATAATTTGCAAAATATTGGTAACATTTTTAAATTATTAATTCATTTAGAGGGCCAACTTCACCAACGTATCTTTTTTTACTATTATATTTCGGGCTTCAATATAATATTCAAAATATGTGGTCAACATAATAATGTATTGTTATTTTTTTGGGTTTTAAATTATTATTTCAATACCCTTAAAGAGTACATTTAATTTAAGTTCATAAGTACCTTTATAATGTATACTAACTTGTATTCATAATTATAGAGCTAAAACGTACTGCACCTCAACATTTGAGTTGAAAACTAAAACCATTTACTGAATTCAATTTTTATTTTTATTTAAAAAAAATAATAAATTTCAAAATTAAATTATGATTACACAGACAGTCACTGAGAGACGTATTAAATGTTGTACATGACTAGAATATTATACCAATGAGTTGTTACAGAATGATTTTCAGATCTATAAACTTTAAAAATTGGAAATAATTTTTATATTTTTATAACAATAGCTGAAAAGTTGTCAGATATGTTCTTCAATATAGTGTCATCACATATTACAATATGTCTTGGATGTCTTAAGAAACAGTCATATAATTGAAATAGTACTGAATATAAAAAATATTAATAGGTTTTTTACTTCCATAGGTACTCATTTCCGTATTTTTTATTATATCCTAATGATATCCGTTTAGAATTATCTTTTATAACAAGAAATACCCGAAACTGAGAGATCATCACTGAAAGATTTAACTGAAATAATAATTCCGTTTTTTATAAGCATATTTAAACTTTGCGATTTAAGGATTTCATTAATATTTTGATGGTTCTTTCTTATTATTTCATCATTATTTGTTTAAAAATATTAATAATGATTTAAAATTTCTAATTTGTTTATTTGTAATTGGTACATTATTTTACGTACCTATATATTTATTTTAAATTGTTTAATGTATAAAATAAATGTAATAATTTAACTATAATGTATTTTTACGTTATTATTTTACATACGTTACCAGTAAATTATTAAAAAAATAAAGTGATAATATTTCAGTTTTATTTTTACAGATACTGCATACAGGGAAATAAAACGCTTCTTCCCATTAGAATGGAAAAGAGCAGTAAGTGAGAAATCTGTTATGCATAATTTTGTATTATAATTTTATAATTTATAGGTAGTTATTTGCATAAAATATGTAAAATATTTTATGTATCTACATATTTTAGTTCAATGCTAGGTACTAACCCATAGTTTTTTTAAGTGTAAAATTTATTTATTTTTCATCATCATATTAGCAGCATTTTTAATCAAAATCATCTTCAAAACGTAGAACTGAAGTATTCAAAAGTATAACTATTAATTTTTTAACATTTTCAAAAAATGCTTTTAATAAATAATTTATATTTGGAGTTTGAGGGTACAGCTGTACTGTGAATAATTTTTCTTTACTATTGTTTATGGTGTAAAAATAATAAAACAAAACAAAAGATTGTCCATCTTGCAATTGTTAACTGACAGCAAATTCCACTTTCTGTTAATTTCTTGTGTAATACATTCTTTAATTTATGTATGAAACAAATGATAATAATTATAATAGAAGAAGAGGGCATTCTTTTGTGTTTTTGTTAGTTTTTATTTTATTCAAAAAAAAAAGGTTTTATTTGTTCTACTAACGTTTACTTACTAGTTATCTATAAGTTTTCTCATTAAATAATAAACTATTGTATTTAATTTATATTAAAATTGGATTTATTAATAAATAAGAAAAATTATTATAATAATTAATACTATAAAAATATATTTTTGGTAATTTTTTCAGTCTAACCTTGGAGGCAAAGTAAGTATTTGAAACTTTAGTATTTAATATTTTTAATGAGGTTTCATATTGAAAAAATAAAGGCCATAATATTTTTCATTTTTGTTAATTCAGAAATTTATTTTTTTTAATATAGAAAAATAATGTGTTAATTTAATCAACAAGATCATTTTTAGTGACCTACATATTTTATGACGCATGTTTGACTCTATAGCTAGTATTGCTGGCAATATATCTAGGGTAGATTACTGGTTATGGTATAATAAATGAATTTTCACTTTTCTCTTAGATTACTGGATTTTAAGAAAATGTAATTAGCTATTTCATAAAGAATTTTTATAGGTTTTAACACAGATGTTATACCTGTCACATGTATACCTGTTAAATATTAAATGCAATTTAGAAAAATGTATTTTTATTATTAAAAGTATATAGTTTTTTAAAGTAGGTAATGCTTTAGTAAGTAATAAATACATTAATACATAATATGTAAATTACTTACATATGCCACTGCGATTTAAGCTAATTTTGGACAATTATTTATTTATTTTCCTGTTAAGTTTATTAAATCTGTCAACTTTATTCGTTATCTATAATTATCAAATTATATATCAGACAATATTGCTATAAGTTTTATGCTATGCATTCAGAATATAGTTACGCCTCAAAATCTAAGGATAAAATTATTTTACTGCTGTTTGTACATTTGTGCTAATTTTGAAAAAGGATTCATATACGTACCATTCATTATTAATTAAAATAAAAGACTTCAAAATAGATACTAGGTACTATTATTATTATAAGATTTTTACATACATTCAAACAATAACAAACAATTATAATTTATTTTGAACTTTTTTAGTATAAAAACTTTAATGCCACAATAATCAAGTTTTGTTACACATATAACTGTTTTAATATTTATGGTATTTTTAATGAAGAAATGTATCTAACTTATCTTTTTTCATCTAAGATCTTATTCTCTTCAATATCGAAAACAGCCATTCAGTGTAGTAATTAATAGAAATCAACTATAGCTTAACGCTATGTATATGTATAGACATATAGACCAGTTGTTCTCAACTTTTTTAAGTTTGCAACTCCCTATAATGCTACCAATATGTCCAACGACCCTTTTATGATGTAAGCATTGAACAATTTTACAAACTGTTATTATTGCCGATTGGCGTTAATTAATAGAAAATAAAAAATAAAAATGATTTAAATTTTAATATTTTTTAAATTTAATGACTCTTTTGTTGTTGTTGATTTGAATTAATTTTTTTTCACTAAAAAAATTGTTGGCCACCCCCAAGGGGGTCGCGACCCCCGGTCGAGAATCACTGATATAGACTATACATGTTATAGGCTATAATAATATAACAGCTTACAAATACAATAATGTATTCCAAGTGTAAATTCTTATACTTGTAAAATACTTACAAGAACTATTCATAATAGAAATATTTGATAATATTTTTTTGATAATTTGATAATACATATGTGTATATTTGATAAAGTATACAAAAGTAATATAGTATAATTTATACGTGTTAAATATTAAGAAAATGTACTAGAAATTATTTTTAGCAAAGAAATCGAATTGATTTAGTTTTATTTAGATTTGATTTTGTATTGAAATGTCTCATTTATCGATCGAATACTTTACATTTCGAACTTCAACACAATAAAAATGTAATAATCACTTTCGATACCTCATATATTTACACGGTACAATGGTTGATCATGATGGATAATGAACCGTGTACCAGAGATACGCGTTTGTTTATATTACAATTGTTGATAGATGTTTGATAATAATTCCACAATGAATATGTATTAAATTATCTTTACGAATATACCATATGTTAATTTACTTATTTTAATATGGACATGGAGAAGATATTAAATGCAGTATCAAATAAAATTGTTTAGAATATTTCAATGGATTTTATCAACTTAATTAAATAATACTTTTTAAAAGACAAACAAATTGGATAAAAATATAAATATTTTTCTCGTGTTGCAATATCTTTATATTAACTTGTAGATTTTTTTTGTCAATTTAAAAATAAAAAAAATCAAGTTTAATAAAAGTTGTTTAGCAGCAGTCAACACACATCATATTGCACTGCAATGTAATAAATAGGTATATAAGTAGCGGTTGTAGGGTGGAGGGCGAAGAGGGTGCTCCCCCCTTGAAATGTTTTATGTCAACTGTTGTTTTGTATGTCGTATTATTTTCACGATATATGTTCAAACATTTTTTAAAAAAAATGTTTTTATTTTTTTTTGCATTAGCATGAAAAATTGATTGATAACAATAGACAAATATATGTTATCAAAAAATACAGATCTAAAACTAGAAATAATAAGGTTAAGTTAATCGGATTTAATCGGGGTTTTTCAGATTATAGTCAGAATATAGTTATATTTATGGACGTTTTACTATATTTTATAAATATAAAATTAAACTATTTAAATTATGAAATAACAAATGAAAGTTATGTCACTTACAATAGAACCACAAACAATTTTTTTTTTATTTGATGTATATAATTATAGCGGATAATTTATAGTCTTCTGAAAATATTGCCTTCTCTTCCCGTATCTACTGCGAATGCGGAACGTTCCCTTTCTATATTAAAACGCTTAAAGACGTATTTACGAAACACCATTGATCAAGAGTGACTTAATGACCTAGCTCTTCTAAATATTTATAGAGACATAATTGTTGATCCCTTATAAATTGTAAAAAAATAACAAAATGTAGGTAATGACTAAATTTACTTATATAACATTTAATTTAAAAAAATAACATTACAAGTATTTTTTATTAACATACCTATAATTGTATTTGTTTTTTAATATATATGTTTTTATCTATTACTAATAATTTAAAAGTCAAAACCCCCTCCATTAATAATCTATACTTATGCCCCTGTGAATATGATCAAGGAAAATACATATAATATGTATTCAATGTTTATCATACATATTTGTAACATAATAAAATTGTATTATCTAATTTGAATTGGTATATTTATATTTATATATGTTACCGGAAAAGATGAAAATTCAGGAATTGTCAATATATCCTAGTCATTGTTGACAATGACTGGAAAGGTTAGGCAATGTTGGATATTTCGTAGTTTTATCAACATTTCCGTATTATATTAGGCAATGTTATAAATTCGCATTCAAACAAATATCAACACCGCTTTATCGGTGATCGATCTGATTATGGAACATTCAAGTCTTCATGAAATATATATTAATTTTAAATGACGAAAATTTTTTTAAATTTTTTGTGGTGTTACGAACGGAGCCCTAGGCAAACCATTGCGGAGCACCAAAAGCTTCGCGGAGCACAGTTTGAGTACCGCTGTACTAGATTATATAATTCCAAGTGTCATAGTAATTTACCACGTAACAATAAAGATTAAGATTATGATTTATCCTAAATAGCTAATAAGTATTAAAATATATTAAATTAATTTTTAATGTTATTATCAATGCCTTCTTTTATTAGGAATTGTTATCAATGACTAGATATTGACATTAATTCCTTACTAAATCAGGCATTATCGTTATTGACTAGTCATTGTCAACACGGACTGATTGTCATCTTTTCCGGTAACATGTATAAAATTTTTCAGAATTGTAACTAGATTGTTACTACAAAAATAGTTTAAAAGTTTATTATTAATAATTTGATAAATCATACTTAAATATTTGGTTTATATATATAATAATAATATTATTTTTATTTTTTGGAATCTATTACATTTATTATTTAGGTAAACCTTTTCTCAAAGAATACTAGGATTCGAGTAGGGGTAGATAAGAACACAGAATAGGGTTGGTTGAGCTGTAAACATTTAGATAGGTATACTCTTGTAGAAACTGATTTCATTAATTTTTTATTTAATTACCTTTTTTGGAAAAAAAAATATTGTGTTCTTACAATCAAAATACATAACGTTATACCTATATAAATTTACAGTATTGGTATGATTAATTGTGAAATCAAGAAAACAGATAATAAAATAAAACTATTTTCTGAACAATTACTATTTAGTTAATGTTAATCTGTAGAGTGTATTCTTCCCTTAGAGGGTTAGCATAATCAATTATTACGAAGTTTATTATTACTATTAACAACAAAAATAATAATCATTACTCATACTGATTGTATAGTTTATTCGCAAAGTATATTTAAAAAAGGTTGTCAACATTTTCAATTTATTTTTAAAAATCTATAAGAGATGAATAAAAATGTTGAAAAATACTGTTTCAGTTATTAAAACAAAAAATTGAATTAATAACGCAAGATTTGAGGATGATTTTATTGAGTATTTATCCGTGTCTAATTTTAAAAGCAGCTCTACGAGCTGGTTAGTTTATCTTCTTGATCGATGATTCTAGTTTTAACAATTTTTTATTTAAATTTATAAAATTAATTTCGAGGAACAAATAATGTAAAGCTCCCTTGAAGATTTTTTTTTATAAATGTACGAATAGCCTGCAAAGGGTGCATGACTCTATTTACGATTTAGCTGTAAAGAATTTAAAAAAATCTGAAATTATGCAATTATTATAGAATACGGAAGGAGTTGCTGAGTTTATTAAATTTAACGAACAATGATTCTTTTTACCTTTTTTTTTATGAAAAAGATAGTAATGATGGGTTGATGATTACAAGTGTGTTTTTGTTGTGATGTTTTGGGTTGTTTTTTCAAGTCCTTGGGTTTAAAAAAAAAAAAAAATCGTTGAGATATAATTTAACAATATATGAAGGTTGCCGATGTTGGACAACACATGGTTGCTGAATTTTACGATGAAAAATTAAAATGTATAAGTTATAATTAAACATTATCATTCTGTTGAAAAATCAATTTACAAATTTTATAAGTGAATTTAATATGCTTTTTTTTTATATATGAAAATTGTTAAACTGATTTTAACTAGTTATTTATTGTATGGTTAATATTAAAATAAAAACATTGAGTAAACAGTAAATATTATTTAAAATATCAGTTTAATATAATTTTGTACCTATAGGTACAAAATTATATTAATCTTACTGTATACAGTAAGATTTATAAAAGAAAAAAAAAGAAAACAAAAAAACTATTTTATTTTTAATAGTTTTGATGTATGATAATTTTAATGTTAATACATTGGATTCAATTTTAATTAATTTTAATGCACTAATATGAACTTTTTTATGTTGTTTTAACAATCATTTTAATGGATATTGGTTACAAATCAGCTGGTAAGTTAAGTTTTATATTAATATTCATTTTTAAGTACCTATTTAATATTTTTTATTAGGAAGACGTTTAACATCTTGTGTTGCTCCATTTTTAATTATCTTGTTACATTTAAAACAATAACATAAATCATAAATTAAAATAATATTTTATTATCATGTACCTTTAAACTTCTTACTTATCTATAGATATTATATGAATTATTATTTCTGTGTGTTATATTTAGTGGACAGAGTATTATATTTAAGTACCTAATGTTTATTTTTATTACTTTTATGAATTTCATTTAAGAAAATTGAAAATTAGGTATACCTATATTAAATTATAATTAATTAACTAATATACATTATATCAGGCGTGCCTAATCAAACAATTCTTAATACATAAATGTTACAAATAGTATTGAACTTATAATTTTTTCTACATTTACTGTCGATTATTTATATTTTACTTAGTTTATTATTATTTATAATTTGTATTCTAATTATAGGTTATAAATAGCTATTAATGAAAAATCGATTTAATAATATGTTTAAATATTTGTTGTTTAAATAATTTTAAAGTTGAAAAAAATAATAAAATCTATTAATGCATAAATCCTAAGTATAGTATTATTTATTAAAGACTGATAAACTGTAAATTTTATTTATAGATGTGCCAATTGGACAGTAGAGTGAGTACCTATATTAAAATCGTTTTTAATATTAGATATCTAAATAAGAACTGTAAAGTTATAAATCATTCTAAACAAAATTTAGATTGATAAATCATAAACCATTGGTGACCAACCTATTATACCAAAGGCCATTAAAAACAAAAAATCTAGGCTAGACAAGAACTTAAACTTTTTCTTTTGAGTTAATATAATATTATATATTAATACAGGCACATCTTAATAAAGATCAACTCATAACTTTAATTATTTACTACATAATGTTTGTTACAAATATAAAATACCTATAAATATATCCTTTTTTTTTTTAATTTGAGTTTTATCCTTGTTTTTTCACAGAGGACATCAATATTAGGTTCTAATTTGATTGCATTTACCTGGAAAACGGCATGAAGATGTTTATTTGTTATGCAAGACCAAGTTTTGTTTTTATTGATTTTCCTAGTTGAAAATACTTGTTCACAAATATAAGTTGAACCGAATATGCAAGATATCATGACTCCTCGAAAATACGATGTGTATAATCACTGATCAGTAAAATAAATGTGAAATGGTTTGGGGTACTCTTTTCCTCCAGATAAATTAATTAAATGATTATATTTTAGTGGTTAATTTTATAATCATAATTTTGGTTATTATAATATAAGTACGAAAAAAAAAAAAATCGAACAAGGTATATCTGTTTAAATTCTTATTTGTTGTTCATTCGTTTTATTTTACATTCAAGGTTCAGACAGTCCTGTTTAGTGTATACACTATTTAAGAGTCATAAATTATCGTAATAATAACCGTGTTATTAGTGCTATTATACATACTGTACTACATCGTTCTCATTTACTTATCGGCTCGCATCATTTTAACTAATTCTTATAAACACTGTCGGTATGTAATATATCATGTACCTACGCATAAATATAATGTTTAACATTATAAACATAGAGTTATAGGCTCATTAATAAATATCTAAACATTTTAAGTCCTTTTATAAATTTATAAAATCAAAGCTGATTCTTTATAGTTTGTTGATGATTATAATACTTTTACTATATTTACCACATTTTTAAAATATAATAAAATGTATTTAATAGAATATTTTGCTTATATTCTTTCTATTTATAAATATTTATTTATTAGGTCAATGAGTAATAATAACATTAATATTACTTTAAAGAGTCAAATTTTTTATTTTCTTAGACTTTTAGAAAACTGTTAATTTACTATTACCAAACTTTATTCTATACAGTCTTAACTTATTTTAATACTTTTGATTAAATTGATTATCTACCTCTCCAAATATTTTTTTATCTAGTTTAATAAATATTAGCATAATTATAATACATATATTTTAACTTTTAACATTAAATTTTAACAATATTTTCATACCTTAATATTATTTATAATTTTAATGTAACTGAAAATAAAAATATAAATAAGTGTACCAATTAAATTTATTTTGAAATAGATTTGAATCAACAAAATAAATCTGTCTTTACAGTAGTTGGTAAAAAAATTTTTTTATGAATAAGTCATAAATGTTTTTAGCATTTTTAAATTATTTCTTGAGCCTGCTAAAAATGTAATAGTTAAAATATTAAATGTTTTTTACATGCTGCTGCAGAATTGTAGAGGGGTATGTAAATTTTAAGTTCAAGTTTTTGAACATAGTTATGTCAATTTCTTTTTTTTTACACATCAATTTCTATATTATTTTTAAATGTTATAATTAATTAATTAATTAATATAATTCATACGGACATAAGGTTCAATTACAATAAAAATTGTTTATCTTATTAAGAGTATACAAAGTTAATAATAAAAATTATTTGCTTTTAGTTTTTTGTTGGTAAGAAATTTGTTGGTCATGCCATGCTTGATGATAACTACAGCAAAATAAGAAAAAATAGTAAAATGCAACAAGCAATAATCAAATATGAAACCGTAAGTTTAGTACATTAAAATTTAATATGACATACATATTATAAACTTGCATAAATTAAAAATTGTTAATATTTAAATAAAATAAGAATTATTAAAGCCAACTTTATTAATCAACACTAGAATAGCGTTGAAAGAAAGAAAAGAAAGAAATTCACCCTTTGAAGAGTGAATTAAATATTGTGTGAATAACTCAGAGAGTGAATTGTTTTTATAAAAATATCGAAAATTTGCTAAAGTAAAGATGGGAGTGCATAGAAAATCCGAAAATATTGTGTCCGAACCGTATATCAGACGAAAAATATTTTAGCTGAAACATCTTTTGTCGGACATGTATTTTATCAGAACAATATTTTAGCCGACAAATATTTCAGTCGGCAGAGTATTTTAGCCAACAAATATTTTTAGCCGACAAATAATTTGGCCGACAATATTATATCCGACAGTAAGCGCATACACAAGAAGGGTTTAGGGGTTCAAACCCCTTCCGAAATTCTGGAAAATTATATTAAATATGTTTTTATATAGTAAAATTGGTATATAGATTATATTATTATGAAAATGTACAATCTAAAACCCCTTCCAAAATATTTTTTTGTGTATGCGCCTGGCCGACAGTATTTTAGACAATTATTTTATCGGTCATGTATCACCTATATCCCCATGGTTATCTATAATATTCCCCGTGGGGTAAACTGTTTCCCTGTCATTTAAATCCCCTTGGACCATCAATAAGTTTAGATCTTATAGATCTTATAGATATTATATTAGTCGTCAAAGTTATTTTCGTCCAAAATATTTGTCGGCTAAAATACGGTTCGACCATAATATTTGTCGAATGAAATATTGTCGGTTAAATTATTTTCGGATCAAATACTATCGGGCAAAATATTATTCGGTCTAAATATTTGTTGGCTAAAATACTGTCGGCTGGAATATTTTCGGCTGAAATACTGTCAGCAAAATTATTTTCGTAATTTTTATAGCCCTCCGTAAAGACGTCATTTGACGTTTTAGATATTCGAAATTCGAATTAATCATAATATTGTAATAAAATAAATAATAATAATTATTGTTATATTGTGATAAATGGTAATAAAGTATTTTGGCGACTAAAGCCGGGTCTAGACGGAGCAGCTTTTGCCGCGCGGCAAATACGCGTCCACACGGTGCAGCATCTATTTCCCGATTCGTTATTAATTAATAATTTGTACCAACTTAAAAAATAAGTACTGATGCCGCACGGCTTTGCCGAAAATACGTCCACATACACGTAGCAAAGGCGAGCGGCACAAGTCGCGCGGCTTTTCTTTGATGTAGACTGCCTACTAGGTACGTTTCCCTGGCACCACAATGTTGAAAAATCCATAATTTTTTGCACCATTAATTGTACCATAATTTGTACCAACGAATTTCTCATAAAAAAATCGATTTCTCTCTACGGGTTCCAGGAAAACGTTTTCCGGAGAAAATTTGATAAGATATTATACTTTATTAATGAAATTAAATTAAATAATTTAACCTAATTCAAAGAAATATAATAGACTGACAGTGGCGTATTTTAAAATTTTTTGTGGGGGGGGGGTCTAAATATTAAGTACCTATAAGTTTATAATATAAAAAAAACATATACGAGTTATGATGTAAATATGTAATAACTATATTATTTATATTAAATTATGTATATTTCACTACTATTATGATTTATTAATACAAATTAATAGTCGGCGTACCTACTAATATAATCATATAATAATTATTTTTATGTTACGTCGTTATCGTCGTCGGACTCGTTTTCATCGTAATTGTCGTCGCCGGATGGCGACGACGCGACAAAAATAACCAAAAGTTAAACCAAAGTAAAAACCCATAATATAAAATTAATATTCTCTTTCTCGGTATCTACATGCCAAGTTTTTTGACTTTTTAAATTTTTTTTTGGGGGAGGGTCAAGACCCGGGTACCCTCCTCCGTAAATACGCCACTGTAGACTGATATAATATATATGGTATTTAATATATTTATAATTATTTTTTTTAACTATTCATAATACCTTCTATTTTCATGAAATTAAACAATTACAATTTAAATAAGAATGAATAAATAAATAATTTCTTATTATTTTTTAATAAATCTCTAATAATCAAAATTAAACGGTTCTAGAACTCTTACTCTTTTAAAAAACCTAAATCTAAACCGGAACCCTTAAAATATTAATTGAACAACCAAAACCGAAATCAGGAACCAAAAAAAAACCTATAGATTTCAGTCCCTGTTGTAAACTAACAAAATGATAAACAAATTATAGCTTTACTAGCAAATACTAGAGAAGTATTTGAAAAATTAAAAAAATATTGTCAAGCAATATATAAATATTGTAAACGAACAAAATAAAAAGCATATGCTAGTTATAAATCAAATGAATTACCAACTATCAAAAAATATAAAAACATTATACAAACAAAACATTTTATTCATGTAGTTATATTTAAAATGTGTATTATTCTTTAATAAATGCTATAAATATTATTATATATGTTAAGAGTTAATTAATGGGTGTGGTCATAAATTAGACCATTTTCAAATTATGTCAGCTTATATTTATTTTAATAATACAATATGAAATTTATATTTTTTTAATTTTAATCTGTCATTTTCGACAGTGGACATTTTTTATATACTCGATTTCAAATGTGGTAACAAAATAAAATCATTAATATAAGTACTGTATAATAAGTATATAGATATAGAATTAATAAATATATATTTTTAAGAAAAGACTAGATTATATTAATTTGTTATCTAAATTATTTGTAAAAGTCCATTGATAGTTATATTTTTTGACAACCGTAATAATTGAAAAAATAATATATTAAAAAATTTGAGTCCTCAATTTGAATTAGTAAAGGTATTTATAATTGAATAAATAATGCTTAAATATGTTAAATATGCAAAATAAACATGTGTATACTAAACCAAAAAAAAAAAAAAAAATGTATAAAACAATAACTACTAATTTATTATTAGTTAAATAAATCAAAAAATATAATAAAATTCAATAGCAAAATATTTTTTTTTTCTTACGATTTGAAAATTATTTCTTATATTCTAACAATTATTTCTTATTAAAGAATGAAGTTAATAAGTTAAATTTAATTTTTATAATTCAACAATTTGAATTAGTAGTTTATACTGTTAAAAACTTTTAATATCAAGTCAGTTTAAAGATAAATTATTATATATTCAGACAAAAATAAATTTAATTTAAATGGAGTTAGAATAAATAATATTCTGTTAAAAAAAGTTTGTGATACATTAAAAAATAATTATGCTATTATGTTTCAGGTACCTTATGGCTCAAACAATTATGAGAAATGGAACTATTAAGTTAAAATGTATTATCAGGTGTTTCAAATATAGATGTGAATTTTCTTTGAATAATAATTTTAATAAGTTATAGCTTAGAAATATTTAGTTATCTATTTTCAATATTTAAGTAATATATATCATTGAATCTTAGAGTTTATCGTGTAATTAATTATATATTTCTTAAACTAAGATTTTGTTCAATACTTTTATAGTATTTAATAGTATGTGCATATTGTGTATAACATAATATGATATGATATGATCTAAAAATGTATTTAGTTTATTTAAATACTCATACACAAATTAACAATTGATTTTGAAATCATTAATAAATAATAAATATTGGAAGATTTGGTTTGCTTAATAATACACGAATAATAAAGATCACAATAAATCAAAATATATATTATATAATATTTTAACATTAACTAACTAAATATTTACGACCATAGAATTGTACTTTTTTGTCAAATGATCCACACTTAATTGGCATGTTTAACTTGTAGAATGGGTTCATTACATACTGAAATTATAAAAATAGAAAAATATATGAAAATATTTATTTTGCTAGAGGTAAAATATTAAAATAATAATACAAATTTGTAATGATTTTTAGAATTGGTATAAATAATTTATTTAATAATAAGAAAATTAACTATGATGAACAACTATAAAATGTTGTCTGGTTTGTCAAAATTTTTTTTAAATTTTCTTAATATTATTGATAATTATTAAATATTTAAAAGATTTAATAATAAAATATTTAAATTAAATTTAAATCATTCAAAGTTTACAAAATAATAAAAACTAGTAAAACACTAAAGTACAGGGTCCGACAAAAAGACCTCCCAGATTTTAAAATCCAATTACAAATAAATAAACAATTTTATTAATTTTTTTAAATTAAATACTATGCCATTTTACATTAAATAAAATAATTACTAAGTTTTAAACATTATATCCGTTAAATATTGTCCTCCATTATTAACACATTTATGAAACCTTTTCCGGAAGTTTTTCATTGCTCGTCGAGTTATTTGTGATGTAATGCCTACCACTTCTTGAGTGATTGCCTCCTTAAATGCTTCCAAAGATGTTGGGTGATGAGTGTAGACTTGGGCCTTTAAATGTCCCAAAAAAAAATAATTACAAGGTGATAAATCGGGGGACCTTTGGGGTCAGGTGATGTCTCCTTGTAAAGAAAGAAGATGTCCTGGAAACATTTCTCTCAAAATGGTTAGTGAATGTCGTGACGTGTGTGCTGTGGTTCCTATCTTGTTGGAACCAAACTTCTTCGTGGTTCCTAGTAAACTGATTTAAGTTTGGTCGGAGGAAGGTCTCAATCATGTGACAGTAGCGATCAGCTTAACTGTAACTTTTTGCCCATTTTCTTCAAAAAAATATGGACCTAACACATCAAATTCAGCAACAGCACTCCAAGCTGTCACATAAGGGCTGTGAAGTGGTCGTTGACAATGTTCTTGAGGGTTTTCTGTTGCCCAGTACCGGAAATTTTGTTTATTTACAGTATCCGATAAATGGAAATGGGCCTCATCAGACGAAGTTAAAACATCACCAACGGGAATGTTTTGAAGAATGTCTTCACAACAGTTCTGCGAATTTCAAAATCTCTCTCACTTAATTCTTGTGTGATACTCACCATGCCACGCCATTATGATTACTGAAAATGGCACGTAGACTTCTATCTATCTATACCAGGAAAATCGTTTTATCTATAAATAGCTTTAAATACAACTGTCTAAAAATACGGGAGGTTTTTTTGCCGGACCCTGTATTCATATTATTTATTCAATATTACTTTTTTAAGAAAAAATAATTAATAACATGATTGTAAGAATTAATTAATTCTTAAATAGCAATAAAAATAAAAATGAAAGTTTTGTTAAACAAGTACTAACAATATAATTCAGTTTAAAATCTAAATATATAATATGATTAAATTTATTATTTAGATACCTTTATAAACATTTCATAAACTTCAGTGAAGAAATTTTTTATACCCTCATCATTTTTTGAATCATGAACCATAATAAATCTCATCCGACTAGCAGTAACAAAAGCTGATACTGTCCAATGGTTAAAGCGATCTACACTCTTCAAATACATTGAAGTAGATTTCCACATAAGCTCATCAATTAGGTCCAAAGCAGCATGAGCTATAAACTGATTTAAATGACTATGATCTTCTTTCTGAAAACATATAATTATAAAGCAAAAAATCATAAAATATTAATTCAACTTAATGAAATAAAGTATATGAAACAATAATTAATATCTCTAAAGATAATACATCATTAATTTTTTTTAATTTTTTTTTTTTAGACATTCTTCTTCTTCTTTACCTTTCTTCCAATTTTTTGGAGTCTTCTTTTTCCTTCAACGTTCATTTTCATAATAACTCTTACTGCATTTGTTTCCTCTCGTTTAATTACATGCTTATACCATCTCAGTCTATTTTCTCTCATCTTCTCCACTATAGAAGTTACAATATATTCATGGTAAAACTATTTCCTCTGTAATATTTTGTATTATTTACGACTCAAGATCCTCATAGGTTGAAATATTTTATTTCTAGGTACTTTAAAATTAACCGCATTAGATAAATACTGCAACAATTATTATTATAATATTCGTTATTATTATAACGAATCGCAGGGGAACGAGATTATTACAAAATGTTTAAGAATGTTTAAGAATACAAAACATGTTGGCAATTTATCTTTACTTGCTATCACGAAGACTGTATATATTTGTACCTCTTATAGTCTTTAATTATTTATGCAGGTAGTATAATAGTGCGCGTCTTATTGACGTATTTATTTTAAAATAACAATGGAAATTATTTCAAATAAGTGAAATTATCTTGTAGAATTGTATCTAAGAACTTATGAGGGAGAAGTGGTATTACAATTATATCAAATCGGTAAATATGAGAAAATAAATAGAATTTCCAAATTCAAAAACGTACAATAGTACCAGTAACATTTAAGTTGATATAACTAGTTGGTATATGAAATATGAAGTTTTTGCCTTGCCTTTGATGAACTTGATATGAAATAAGTCGAGTTGGTCAGTGAGAATTTGAATTTAAAATATATTTATTAGTTAAGACTTTCAGGTCATTTTTTTATAGAAAGTCTGAGTTAACTCTGTATTCAAAATTTAAATTGGGTGGGTGGTAATAGTTGTGTCTCCTGGTAAAAATTTCTTCTGAATTGCGGCCTGAGCACATAATAACTTTACTTTTAATATGAAATTATATATTATAAGCTTCATTTTGTTTCCATTTTTATACAGACATAAGAACTTTCTTTAGTATCAAGTCGATTCTTGATGGAAAAGGAATGAGTGGTTATGAAGATAATTAGGTCAACAAATGTAAAAGTGCTTTTTTTATAATTTACTTAACAAGTATTTTTTTAATTTAAAAAGCAAGCTGGTGTGCCATACCTGATCAAAAGCTTGTGATACATCTAAGAATACTCCTTGACAAAAGTTTTAATTCTTAAATGACAAGGCTATTTTGTTCACAATTTGGTGTATCTAGTGGGTTGAGTAGTTTTCTCTGAATTTAAATGGTGTATTTGGTATAACTTTTTAAAACTTAAGAGAGGGAATTTTTAATTTAGCATCACATTCTCAAATATTTCCCTTTATATTGGTAATAAATTAATTAATTTTTATGAGGAAGCTTCATTTTTTGATTTGATGAGTTTGTGTATAATAATGATTACAGGTATTTTCCATATTAGACCAATCTTAGCATAACATTATAATTGTATATGAGAAGTATAATAGTTTTTTTAGGAAGATGTTTGAGTATCTTGTTTATTATTTGATTGTATTTGGATGATTTTTTGACTTAAAGTTTTGTATAAAATATTTTATTTTATTCATAGATAAATGTTTGGTAAGGAGTGACATATGTAACAGGCTATTTAAGAAATTTATAATTTTATTTGAGGACTTGGTTCAGGATATTATATCATTAAGAGGTATGAATACTATAGGTCTTCCAAGAGTGTTGGCTTTGACAACATCCGAAAATCAAGTGTAACATTTGTTTTTTTTTAAACAAATAGGTTGATTTTTTATTTTCAGAATAATTTTGGTGGTTCTCTATATAGGATCCATCTTGAGAACTATTGAGGACCATTTAATACACCATTGGTTGATAATTGTAATAAACAATATTCATTAATAAAAAAAAAAAAAAAATTATAATGTCTCTAAATATTTTGTGAAAAATAAAATTGTGTATACAATTATGTGAATATATTGAATTCATCAAGTGACAACAATTTGCTTAGCAAAAGATTTGTTTTTAATAAATTTTAAATTGTCAAAATAAAAATACATTATTTCATAATTAAGAAAAATAAAGGAAATAATTCAAAGATTTTATATTGTGAAAATAATTTGTCATTAGATTATTATATAATTAATTTGAGTTCAAAAAATACAATTATCTAATTAAAATATTTTTAAAATTGAATATCAAAAATAACACTAATAACAATTAATTGACAGTCAAAACTTACTTTAACTTCTTTACTGGACATGAATTCCATTTCAAATATAGGATTATCACCATGTCCGACAATTACAAAGTAGTAAAAACCAGTCATTGTCAGATAAATATTAAAGTAAGACAATTGGTAATTTTTGACAATTACTATTAACGGTTTAGTTTAATTTTCTTAAATAACTAAGGCACTGAAATGTCCTAACATTGATTTAAGTCTATAGAATAACAGTTTGGTTATAATTTAATGTGATAAATACAAACACAAAAATTACTTTAAATTATAACTTGCCTAATTTTTTAAGTTATTTTAGTTTGTTTATTTCCTATTATCACAGAGTTAATTAAACATGTTTCATGTAATCTGTGTTATTATCAAACTGATAACAAAGTATTAGACGGCCAAGGCTTAGAGATAATATTTTGGTGGGCCTAACATGGGCGCTTCAGCTTGCTACCGAGCGGGCATGTATGTGTGTCCGTGATGTTGGTCAACCTGCTAATATCATCGATTGTTGTTTGGTCAATAGTATGTTTTTTCTTTTCGTTCGTTTGTTTTAACAATATTTATTATTGAGATCGCGAAAAATACTTTCAGTTCACGACTATTATATACTATTCTATGGTTCACGATGACCACACACGCGGACATTGAGGCGCAAATCCGTGAGATTCAACAGCGAAAAAAGGAAGAGAAACAAAAGGAGGATGACAGCGACGTGGGACTTGGGGCTTCCGGCTTCTTCGACCAAGACATCTACAACGGTGGCGGGAAGTATGAGGGCTACGTCACGTCAATAGCCCCGAACGACGAGTATGATGTAAGTGTCTAGCTTTCAGTTTTTCCGGCTCCGTATAGTTTACACGCTGGATATTAAAGGAGTTTTTTCAATCGCATCATGTTTATAGGTATGGAACGTCAATCTCGTTCTTGCCGCTTAATTTTTAGGTATCACGTGCGAGGGTGTCTTATCGGTTACCCCAAACATCGTATGAACAACAATTATTCGTACAAGTTATGGCTCGTTACAGTCGTTAATTAATACTCATATATGTATGACTTAAGTGAATATTTTAAAAAACCTATGATTAGTCACTTATTTAAAATTTCATTAACTCATTATTTTACACCATAGCTATTATATATATTGTTTAATATTGATCCTTTCTTGTTTTTTTTGCATTTTTATTAAAACATTTGTTTCCCGATTATTTTATTGGTACAATATTTTCTTATATTCTCATCTATTTTTTTTGTTATCAATTATTGTTTGAGTTGCACTAATCATCATTATATTGTGTTATGTAATTGATGTACTCTATTTTAACCTTTACAATCTATTTATTTCTTGCCATAAGAACTTCTGATTTGGTATTATTTATTAATTTATTTTTACTAGGGTTTTTTTTTTACGTTTTGTGTTTATATTTTTTTTAATATTAAATAAAATGAAATAAATATGTGCTTATTTGATAGGTTTCTTAGAAAATTCTCTAATATTTTATTTAGATGAAAAAATGTCTAGCATTACAGTATCTTAAATAGTAATATATTAAACATAGGGTTGCACAGTTATTTTAAATAGTTTGATTAATTTTTACTTTTTTTTATGAAATTGATTGATTGTCTTATATAATCGGTACCTATATTCAAATGATTTTCCACAAACCAATGTATGTTATTACTTATTTTGCTCCAATTAGAAAAATATTAACTGTAGGGACTTGAAATCATTAAACATAATTAATTATCTTGGCATTTATACAAAAATTTCAATTTTAATATCTAAGACTAAGACATAAACATTTAATATAAGGTTTTTTTTACTACTTATATATTACTATTTACTGTTTAACTGTTAATAGAAATAAAAGCTAGGTACGATATCTCAATTGTATTTTATTAGTATTGAAATTTAAAATACATTTGAAGTATATACCACTTTTCAATGCTGAGGTGAGCTAAGCGAAACGAATGCCTAATTTCCAGTGTTAGTATCTGACATTTATTTTGAAACTACATTTATATTTATCTTTTAAATAGTAGTGATGCCCTATTTTCCTATGGATTAAAGATTCCATTTAACCCTTATGATTCTATGGAATTAAGATTATTTTTAATAAATGACAATGGGAGTCAACTTATATTTTTAAGACTGAAAAATATGATGTATCAAAACCAAAATCTTAGGATATATGTTTTTTCATTATTTAATGTATTATTATTATGTATATGGTATAACTGTATAAGACTTACAGTAAAAAGTAACATTTAAAATGTTTATAAAAAGTTTTAAAATTTTACCCTAATCTTGGATAAATTTATATACTCATAGTAACAACTTATCTTTATGATAACCTCTTCTCACAAATAAGTTAAATTTCCATATTTCTGTCCTTTTCAAAACAATTATTAAAATAATGCACTTCATGAATTAATTTTTACTTCTTTAAAAGTCTGTTTATTAATTTAATAGGTTATTAATATAAATATGTATTCAATGTAATCATTAATCAATTACAATTGATTTTCTCAAGATAATTGTGCAATAGTGAAATAATCTTGCTGTTCTAATTAAACTATACGCTGTTAATACTTGTTCATAGTTAAACTCTTGCTGATTGGAAACATTTAAAAATATCTCTCATTTATATCTAATATATTAAAGGTATTAAATCTTGATTAGATTCCTATATATATATATATATATACTATTTATGCTAAAAGTGTAGTATATTTATAAGAATTATTTAACCTTATATTAAAAATATTATGATTTAACCAAGTAAAAAAAAATAATTTTAGGATGAAGACATTGATGATCAACAGTACAGAAATAAAAAACCAATAACTGCACCAGCAGCAGCTCTTAAAGAAATTGCACAGGTAGTTCATTATATTCTTAATAATATTCTAATAATTGGTATTTTTATTCATATATTTTACATATATTATTAATTAATTTTTTTTAAATTTCTTAAAGTTAAATTTTTAAAATATTAATAATTTTTTTATATACTAGGCTAGAGATGATGAAGATGACTATGACCCATTTGCAGAAAGAAAACGTCTTCAAAAAGCAACTTCAGACAAAGATGATGATACTCGTCAAGTTCGTAGACCTATGGTTATATCACCAGAACGTATTGATCCCTTTGCTGAAGGTAATGTTTATTTTATTTATTATGTTATCATGTATTTTTATATATTCTAGCAGTTTTTTTATATTATATTAATATATATTTTTATTTCATTTGTTGTGATATTTATTTTAGGTGGTAAAACTCCAGACGTTGGTTCCCGAACTTATTCTCAAATTATGCAAGAACAAAAGTTAAAAGGTGAAGAGAATGAAGTACGGAAAACAATTATAGATAAAGCTAAAGATGGCAATCTTAGAACTAATGGAGAGGCTAAAGGCACAGTCAGAAAAAGAGGACGTTGGGATCAAGTTGTACAAAATGGTGACTCTTCTGGAGTACCTGCCAAGAAAAAAACTAATTCTGCTCCTTGGGAAGAAGTAAGTTATGGTGGTTTAAACTTTTAATATACTATCCATAAAAATTTCTAAACCTTTTTTGAAATATTTACATTATTTTTATGTGTTCATTTAAAATATTGGTTTATTCAACTATGTTTAGACACCTAAGGGAGGCTTGTCACGTTGGGATGAAACTCCTGGACCTACCAAAATGGGAGCAGAAACTCCTGGTGCTACACCTGGTCAAAGTACTAGAATGTGGGATGCAACTCCAGGACATACTACTCCTGCTACAGAAGCTGCAACCCCGGGTCGTGATACTCCAGGTCATATAGGAGTAACACAAACATCAGTTAGGAGAAACCGTTGGGATGAAACTCCTAAAACAGAGAGAGGTAAATATTATTGTGTTTAAGTATAATATATCCATTATTTTGTGATTAATGAATTATTTTCTAGCAACACCTGGGCATAATAGTGGATGGGCTGAAACTCCTCGTACAGATCGTGGGGGTGTTGATTTAATTCAAGATACTCCAACACCATCCGCAAGTAAAAGACGTTCTCGTTGGGATGAAACCCCATCTCAGATGACCCCATCTGCAACACCTGGTGGTCTTACACCTGGAGCAGCTACTCCAAAAGTAGGAGCTACACCATCTGGAACTTCTATGACTCCTACACCTGGTGGCATGACTCCTGGTGCTACACCGATGACACCAATGGCACCTCGTACTCCTGTGCTTTCTAATAGTGCTGCTACTCCAGTTGGACATACCGCCATGGGTATGGCTACCCCAACTCCAGGTAAAAATACAAAAATAAGAATCACATAATATTAAGACTTAATATTTATATTGCTGAATTTCTACTTAGGTCATTTGTTATCTATGACTCCTGAACAGCTGCAAGCTTATAGATGGGAGCGTGAAATTGATGAACGTAACCGTCCATTAACAGATGATGAATTAGATGCTATGTTTCCACCCGGGTATAAAGTACTTCAACCACCTGCTGGATATATACCTATACGAACTCCAGCTCGTAAATTAACTGCTACACCAACCCCAATAGCTGGTACTCCAACAGGATTTTTCATGCAAGAATCTGTTGATCGTCCAACTAAGACCCAAATAGTTGATAATCAACCGCCTGGTAATCTTCCTATGTTAAAACCTGAAGATGCACAGTATTTTGATAAATTATTGATGGATGTTGATGAAGAAAGTTTAACATTAGAAGAACAAAAAGAAAGAAAAATTATGAAATTGCTTTTAAAGATTAAAAATGGTACTCCACCAATGAGAAAAGCTGCTTTGAGGCAAGTTACTGATAAGGCTAGGGAATTAGGTGCTGGTCCATTATTCAATCAAATACTGCCTTTACTTATGTCACCTACTCTTGAAGATCAAGAACGCCATTTATTAGTAAAAGTCATTGATCGAATTTTATACAAATTAGATGACTTAGTCAGACCATATGTTCATAAGGTAAGTTGTATTTTTATAAACATAAATACGTATTTAAAATTAATAATATTAATTTTTTTATAGATATTGGTTGTTATTGAACCACTCTTAATTGATGAAGATTATTATGCTCGTGTTGAAGGCCGAGAAATAATTTCAAATTTAGCCAAGGCAGCTGGATTAGCTACTATGATATCTACTATGAGACCTGATATTGATAATATTGATGAGTATGTTCGTAATACTACAGCTCGAGCTTTTGCTGTAGTTGCTTCAGCATTGGGAATTCCATCACTTTTGCCTTTCTTAAAAGCAGTGTGTAAGAGTAAGAAATCTTGGCAAGCTCGTCATACAGGTAATTATAATATACATAAGTATTTTTATAATTATATTTATCTAATATTTTGTTTTATTTAATCTAATTTAAGGTATAAAAATTGTTCAACAAATTGCAATCTTAATGGGTTGTGCTATTCTACCTCATTTACGTTCTCTTGTGGAAATAATTGAACATGGCTTGGTTGACGAGCAACAGAAAGTACGAACTATTACTGCTCTAGCAATAGCTGCGTTGGCTGAAGCTGCAACTCCTTATGGTATTGAAAGTTTTGATTCTGTCCTTAAACCATTGTGGAAGGGTATTAGAACTCATAGAGGAAAAGTAAGATTTAAAAATTTTAATATATTTTTATATATAGCAATTAAATAATATTATTGTTTTAGGGTTTAGCTGCATTTTTGAAAGCTATAGGATATTTAATACCTTTAATGGATGCTGAATATGCTAACTATTATACCAGAGAAGTAATGTTGATCTTGATTCGAGAGTTTCAGTCTCCTGATGAAGAAATGAAAAAGATTGTATTAAAGGTTAATAACAAATTTAGCTTTTTTAAATACATTTTTAACTTGTGAATTATATTTGTAGGTAGTCAAACAATGTTGTGGAACAGATGGTGTTGAACCTCAATACATTCGTGAAGATATTTTACCTCATTTCTTTAGACATTTCTGGAATCATAGGATGGCCCTAGATAGACGAAATTATAGACAAGTAAATATCTATTAAAATCATGAACATTTTAAAATAAGTACCAAGTTTTATAATAAATATATATTTATTCTATTAGTTAGTTGATACCACAATGGAAATAGCTAATAAAGTTGGAGCATCTGAAATTATTAATCGAATAGTTGATGATTTAAAAGATGAAAATGAACAATATCGTAAAATGGTTATGGAAACTATAGAAAAAACAATTGGCAACTTAGGTGCAGCTGATATTGACTCCAGGCTTGAAGAACAGCTTATTGATGGTATTCTTTATGCTTTTCAGGAACAAACAAATGAAGTAACTACTAATATTTCTTTAACTTATTTTATAAATGTTAGCATTTAATAAGAACTATATAAAATTTTAAAATTGTATAGGATGTTATTATGTTAAATGGATTTGGTATGATTGTTAATCAACTTGGTAGGCGTGTCAAACCATACCTACCTCAGATATGTGGTACTATTTTATGGAGATTGAATAACAAATCCGCTAAAATTAGACAACAAGCTGCAGACTTGATTGCTCGGATAGCTTGTATTATGAAAATTTGTCAAGAAGTATGTCTGATTCATTTTTTTTCAAGTTGTATCTTAAAGTATTTATAATTTTTAAAATTTTATATTTTAGGAAAAATTGATGGGACATTTGGGTTTAGTGTTGTATGAATACTTGGGTGAAGAATATCCAGAAGTGTTGGGAAGCATTTTAGGCGCATTAAAAGGTATTGTAAACGTGATTGGAATGACAAGAATGACTCCGCCTATCAAAGACTTGTTACCTCGGCTAACGCCAATTTTGAAAAACAGACACGAGAAAGTTCAAGAGAATTGTATCGATCTTGTTGGTCGTATTGCTGATCGAGGACCAGAGTATGTACCAGCCAGGGAATGGATGCGAATATGCTTTGAACTTCTTGAGTTATTAAAAGCGCATAAAAAAGCAATCAGGAGAGCTACAGTAAATACTTTTGGTTATATTGCTAAAGCAATTGGGTAAGCATTTGTAATTGACTATAAATAAAGTGTTTATATGCTATAGTCTTCATTTTAATATAAAAAAAATTATAATAATAATATAAATAACTATTATTATTTTCTACAGACCTCATGATGTATTAGCTACACTTTTGAATAATTTAAAAGTACAAGAACGACAGAATCGTGTTTGTACAACTGTGGCCATTGCTATAGTAGCTGAAACTTGTTCTCCATTCACTGTGTTACCTGCCTTGATGAATGAATATCGTGTACCTGAATTGAATGTCCAAAATGGTGTTCTTAAATCTTTATCATTTTTGTTTCAATACATTGGTGAAATGGGCAAAGATTATATTTATGCCGTCACTCCACTTTTAGAAGATGCTTTGATGGACAGGTAACAATAAATTATGGACTATAATAATGGAACTAATAAATTAATTTATAGAGTTTTCAACGCATAAGTTAAAAATATTTAAAATTAATTATTATTCAAAATAATGATTACTGGGTATTTAGTATTTAGTTTTAACGTAATTCAATTATTTTAAGTTACATTTTATTATGAAAATTTGTTTATAAATTAAAAATAAAAGATACATGACAAATAATTTGTTAACTATACAGCTGAGTAAATATATATTAATATATATTTGATTGAGCATTGGAAGCATAATTTATACATTTATTCATAGTATTGATAAGTATAATATGTTAAATATGACTCTTAATAGTTACATTAATTTATTTATTTTGATTTATAAAATTATTCTTATTTATAATTTGTTAAATGTTAATACAGTTTTGTAACATTTTGAATATACTAAACAGCAATAGAATATATTGGTTCTAACAGTTAACATATGTATTTTTAACAAACTATGTATTTACATTTTTTTAGAGATTTAGTACATAGACAAACAGCATGTGCAGCAATCAAACATATGGCTCTAGGAGTCTTTGGTTTTGGTTGTGAAGATGCGTTAATCCATTTATTAAACTATGTTTGGCCTAATATTTTTGAAACATCTCCTCATTTGGTTCAAGCTTTTATGGAAGCTGTTGAAGGCTTGAGAGTGGCTCTTGGCCCTATTAAAATTTTACAATATACACTTCAAGTAAGTATGTAGCTGTTAAGAAATTTAAGTTAAGAGCTTCTGTTTTACAATGTTAAATAATTTATTTAAAACATATAAGCCTGGAATAATTTATATGCACAGGTAAAAAGTTGTAAAGGACACAACTTTTGTTGGCCACTTATTATTATTTTTTTTTTAGGGATTATTTCACCCAGCTCGTAAAGTTCGTGATGTTTACTGGAAGATATATAATTCATTATATATAAGTGCCCAAGATGCTTTAGTTGCGGGATACCCTCATATAGAAAATGATGTAAAGAATCAATATGTACGATATGAACTTATGTATACGTTATAATCATGTCGGATTTATATTTTATTAATAATTTTTTTTGTGTGTAAATATTCTATTAAATTGTAATGTGTTTATTCTTTTATACATTTTTTCAATATTCAGCCGATTGAGGAATATTAACATTTAAAGGATTAATACTACTATCATATATTCATTTAAATTATATTTATGTTTTTTCGTCTGAAGAGTTAAAGTCATTGATTGATTTCATATTCCAACAATCATGTTGACAATAATAATGGTCTTATGAATCCTTATTATTTTTATTATGTTAAGTAAACTATTTTAAAAATTTAGGACAACAAAAATATTAATTACTTATTTTTAAGTATGAGAGGGTTATAAATTATAATTTATACTTGATGTATGTTATATGTATGATTGTCAAACATTTATTTTTACATAGTAAAATGTAATACATAATTTAGTTGTTTTTAATATTTCATGTATAAATGAAAATTTATAAATTTATTAATTTAATTCCCATTAAATGAAAAGTTTCAATATGATTGTGTGTGGATAAAATAATATTCCTATTTTAATTGTGGTTTCATTTTTTATATACAATTAATTTAATTTTGAGTAATTATTTATTTAATAATTATAATAATAAATAATTATTATTTGTTTTACATTATACTTATTCTAAATGTAATAAAATTAATTATTGAAATTGTTTTAAAAATAAAACAATTATGGAACTGCTATGCAAATGGCCATATTCTTATAAATGTAGAATTTAAATGTGTGAATTAATTATTGGTCAAAATTAAGTTCTGAGTTTTTGTTAATTATATAATTATCAACAATCAAAGATTAGAGTTAATTTTATTGTGTAATAAATTCAAGAAGAGTATTAATGTTTTATTGTTAGCATTTTCTCAATGTACTGTGTAGGATGTACCACAAAGAAATTTAAATTTGTAGGGTGATTTTGATTTAATTATTATATTATTATTAAATTCTTCTATTAAAGTGAGTACATTTATAATCAGTAAAGATTAGGTATACTATACGTCCTGGTTAGGACAGTACCTATTTTTTAGTTCCTAAAATGTGGTTCGGGACAACCAATTGTCATGGAATGAAACTTAAATAATGTATCTATGTTGAAAAACCATAATAATATTGTCATGATAAAATTGAATAATTGACTAATAAAATTGTGTAATTTGATATGTATTGATGAAAACCACGGTTTAAGATATGTATTTACCGCGATGAAAACTATTTCAAAGAACAAAATGAAATGTAACATAACATATCACTCGAAGAACTTGCGGAAACCCTTTTGAACGGTGTCGTCGATACGTTTTTATTAGTCGTAACTGAGGTAAACATTCGCATTTGCGACAATACGCGCTGCGGACATTTGGCCGACGACGCTCATACGTGATCGGTCTGACCGCAGCGTTTGCATGACGACGACATTATCGTGAACGCGCGTAAACTGAGGAAAACACGTACAACGAGACCATTTACGTCAGAACTCTCGTGTAAAACTAGGGTTGCCATAAATTTATAAGGCGAAACCGGGACAAAACAAACAAATTATTGAGTAATATACTTTTAATATATTGGGAGGACCAGTGACGTATACAAGGAGGGTTGTGGAGGTCAGTTCCCCTAGGCCTTTTTTTAAATGTTATAAAATAATGTTCTTAGTGTAAGAGTGTTAAAAACGTAAAAAAAGAAAATAATAATAAAATAAAAATTATGATTTGTTTGCAAATCATCACCCCCCCCCCCTCCTCCATACAAGTTATGTATACGTCACTGAAAAAGACCATTAATGGCCGGCAATCATTGGCGTGCGCAAACTTTGTCCGCAGGGGGGGCCCTTAAAAAAAACGAACCAAAGATTCTTGTACTAAATACAGTATAATTAAATATTTTAAATTTTATAAATTATTTATTTTATTCAAAATACAAATATAAAAATAAATACTCTTTAAACTTACACAATTTATGTCTAAGAAATCCTTATTTACATATTATTATACTATTTAAAACTCCATCCTTCTGTCAACGAGAGTAAGGTTTTTGAATGCATGAATTACATCTTCAATTTTTATATTATATTCAAGTTCTGATTAGTCTGATTAATAACTAATAACTTTATTACATTTATTCACAGATATAAATTCTATACTATATAATTAAAATAGGCTTTACTTTATTCATGTAAAATGTAAAAATGTTCGCCATCTTGTATAATATAGATATACACCTAAATAAGAAAAATCCAGAGTCCACATGGGGGCCACGGCCCACCCGGTTACCCCCGTGCGTACGTCTATGCCGGCAATATAATATTTAAAAATCTTTTTGTAAAATAAAATATATTATATGTGTAAATTACAAATAATGTTTTTATTATATATTGTTAATCGATTACGATTAAAAATGTACTTTGAAATAAACTGGTCGAAATTAAAAAAATAAACAATACTACATTTCCTTTAGACGTCTAAGCCGGGACATATGGACGTCCTGAAAACATTTTTCGGGACACCGGGACACGAAGTCCAAAACCAGTGACAATCCCGGTTTTCCGGGACGTATGGTAACCCTATGTAAAACTAAAATCGATCGTGCGGAAACGCAACGTGTTAATGCCGCGAGTGCTGAAAACTTCGACTAATGTCGACGTTCAGCACTAAACGTGTTAAAATTGAACATCCGTACAAGGTCAATCGCGGCCCAAATCAACGCTACGATTATCAGGCCTACGGTCATACTCGACGGTTTTGCGGTCACCGCCCGTGCGGTGTCAAGTATGGCGACGGTCACCCCATTTCCGAGTGCAGCAAAGATAGAAGCTGTTCAGAATTGTGAGCAGGCGATCACACGGCAAACTTCAAAGGATGTTCGTAATTTAAATATCTCCACGAACATCAATCCAGTGTCCGTTGCATTACGTATAAACCTAAAACTTCATTATCAGTGGCTAATCAGAATTTGATATCTTAACAACGCAATTTCAACATAAAGTTTTACTATAAATAATTTTATTATTATAAATATTTTTAGGGATGTGTAGTTTATGAGCTAGTCGAATCTTAAAAATGAACTGGACGAGTCGAATCAGTGTTACAAGAGTTGGAAACTCGGTGACTCACTGACTCAGTTAAACTCACAACTGTACTACTGTAGATACACGATTCTCAACTCTTGACTCCCTTGATAAAGGTTTGCGAATCCAAACGGAAAATATAATACCAACTTAAACAATAGTTCCCCTCGGATTTGTTTATTAATATTTCCATTGCTTCTTAAAACGAGATCTCTGACTTTCTGAGAAAAATTCGTAACGTTGTACGCTTATAGTCATAATTAGTTTCATATGCGATAAGCTATTCATGAATATGGACTGTGAACTTGTGAGTCGAATCAAGAATCGAGACTTGAAGAGTTGATTAGAGTAGTGGTAATGTGATTCAAATAAAGAGTTGGTAATCGGCTCTTTGATTCAACTCATTACACTGAACTGAGTTGAAAGATTCAGTTCAGCAGAATGAGTTGGAATTCCCATTCCTATATATTTTTAATAACACATACATATATTATTGATGTTTGCAGACGCGGATCCAGAATAGATTTACGGGGGGGGGGGCATCAAATAATATCAATTAATTATCAGGGTTTATTATGTTATATTATTTTGACACTAACATAATAATGATTGAAATTAAATTTACCTTTAAGTAGACCATAAAATATATATACAAACATTTTTTTTTAAATATTTAGGTTTCTCAAGATTTTATTTTATTGCTTATCAAATGTTTAATTACATTACTTTTACTAGAGTTTACTGTAATTTATAATTTATGATAAATTATAATCAAATATACAACTTAAAATTAGGTTAATTTCTTATTATTTATGGTTTTTAAATTGCAAATGGATTTTTCTTTTGCTTTTGGAGAAACGTTGAATTAATTTTTCAACATCAATGGCAATGTCTCTGTGAATGTTTAATAATGCAAGTCCAGTCACACGTGTTTCACACATTGTTGATCTTAGCCATATTTTAAGACGCCATAGTGAAGAGAATGACCTTTCAGAGCTAGAATTACTAATGGGAAATGTAATTAATAATTTTAATATTTTATTTATTAAAGGAAAAACGTCTTCATCACAATTCTGTAATACTTCAATTGCATGGTTAGAAATAACTGATGAATCATTTTGAAATCCACGTATCCACTTCTCTTTTCAAATATAGTATTCACCAACTAATCGGGAGGGTAATTCATTTTTATTAAGCAATTTTTAAAAGTCTTTAGCAACTGATTTTATTTTGTCAGTTTCTTCTTTTTGGTCATTTGGTAATTTTAAAAAATTAGATGGAAGAAAAAAAGATAACTGAAATAATTCCAATGTATTTTGGGAAAAACGTGTTTTTAAGTCATCTATAACATTATCCAATAAAGGAATATTGAGATTCTGTAATAGTCTTCTACGTTGTTAGTAAAATAGTTTGATCGATTTTTTTGTTGTTTACATAATCTAGGCATTCGTAATTCTACATCGATAATGTTTGCTAAATCTTCAGATGATTTAAAAATATTTGAAAATTCTGTATCAACATTTTCACGACATTTGGAAAGAACTTGTAATGTATCTTTTATAGTATTTGCTGCTGTATTCAAATCTAATTTTTTTTTTTTGGAAAATTTTGCTTAGACAATAAGTGAAATTGAGCAAATGCGCAAAACTAAAAATAGCAATAATAAATTCACTGTCACATAATGTTGTTACAAGTATTTTTGCTTTTCCAGAAGTTTGGGAATCTTTCCATGTTTTAATTTCAGTTAATGTATTAATAATTTTAGGCATGTCTTGTAAAAACCTAGTAACTCCATCATGTCTCTCAACCCATCTTGTTTCGCATAGTCCTGTTAGCTGATGGCCAACATATTTCTTCAAAATAACTGTACGTTTTGCTGCCAACAACCTCTTTAATAATTCCAACTAAATTTCGTATACTTTGAACTTTACTTGATTTTGAAATAGAAATATTAAGAGAATGGTTGTAACATGGACATCTACGGTCATTCGGTGA